ATTCTTTCCTTATTTCTAAACATTCTCCTTCCTCTTAATCCCTTTGAGAGAGATTGATCACCTTCTCTATACATTAACCTCAACTCTCATTTGTTCTACTTCTTTTGCTCTTTCTTCACTCTTCCATTCATTCTTTTCCAAGAAAATAACAAAGCTAGTCAAGTCCTTAAAAGATTAAAAAGGATGTGTTCATCTAATTCCAAATTGCAGAGGAGCAGTAGTGCTGATAATATTACAACACAAACCATCTCTCATATCAATGGACGCCCTGTTCTTCAACCAAATAGAAACCAACTCCCTTTCTTGGAACGCCGCAATTCCCTTAAAAATTCACCAGCCAAGACTTTTGCTGGTGCACCGTTACACCCTTTGTCATCACCAAGACTTAATATTTCCCCTCCAAGTACTACTAATGGTAACAATAACAACAAAATTAGTGCAAAAATCAAGCCTTTCGTGACAACTCCTCCTATCTCTCCTAAAATCAAGTCACCTAGGCAGCCAGCAATTAAGAGGGATAATGATCCTCATGGCTTGAATTCTAGTGCTGAGAGAGTGGTGTCACCAAAAGACACTACCAAAACCACATATTTAGTGAAGAAGTCCAAGAATTCCAGTGGAGTACCTTGTGCGGAAAATTCCTCGTTGAAATACTCTTCTTCTTTGATAGTTGAGGCACCAGGAAGCATAGCAGCAGCAAGAAGGGAACAAGTAGCCAACATGCAAGTCCAAAGGAAAATGAGAATAGCTCATTATGGAAGAACAAAGTCAGCTAAGTTTGAAGGCAAAGTCTCTGCTGCTGCTTTTCATCTTCTCCTGCTTCTGCTTCCCCTACCTCCAATCCTCGAGAAGAAAAAAGATGCAGCTTTATCACAGCTAATTCGGGTAATTTTTCNACTATATTAACGCCCCTGCATAAAATCGTTAAGTTAAATCAATTATGACATTACCCTAATAAAAGTACAATTTTTATGTCCCAAATAGCATTAAAGGAGGTTTTCAATTGTAACCTTTAATAACGGTGGGACTATGCATCAACTATGCCAAGCTGAAAGTTAATACCTTTATTAAATGCGACTAATAAAGCACGAAACAACGATTATAGCTTTAACACGATTCATTTTCTTTATTTTGCTTTTAGATGGTAATTAAAAAATTAAATCTCGATGACGTGTCTTTTTTGTCATCTAAAATTTCTATATTTAAAATATTTACGCACAACTTAATTTTCTGATGCTCACTAGAAGGGATTTAAATTTGAGGTCTAATATTTTTCTCTCGGTCAAATAATTAACTACACATAAGCATTTTATAAAAATAATTTAAAATCAAAATACATGAGGTATAATAATTGACTGATTCCAGATTATAATAATCACAAAGTCAAAGGAAATGGTTAGGGTTACCAAGTTTCTTAATTTAGTACTAGTTATTTCTGAAATCATAACCAATAACGTATAAATAAGGTAGTGACATTATTATAAAAAATAAAAAAAATCATTCTGTAACTATTTATATTTCGCCATGACACACCGACAATATCAAGTCAAAGCATATTATCATGATATTATTAGACTAAGTATACAATCGACACTATACAATCTTTTACTTTTTAAAATTTTAATGGAATAAGGAGAGAGGAAGAAAAAATAGCAAGAATTAAAGCTCGCACTTTCGAGCCGGGTCTATCGGAAACAACCTTTCTATCTTTAAGGCATGAGTAAGTTCTGCGTACACACTACCTTCTACAAACCCCACTTGTGAGATTATACTGATTTTTTTGTGTGGTGAGATTACGTGTTCAAGCCGTGGAAATAGCCTCTTGCAGAAATGCAGGGTAAAGCTTACCCTTGTGGTACAGTCCTTCCTTGAATCCCGTGTATAGCAGGAGCTTAATGCACCAGATTGATTTTCTTTTTTTTTGGGTAATTGAGACTCGCACGGGTACCACGAAAGAACATAGTACTCCCTCCGGTCCACAATAAGTGACTAATTTGCTTTTGGCACGCCCATTAAGAAAATACTAAATTCTATACAAAAATACCTAGTATGACTAAGCTACCCTTAATTAAATATTTAATGTGAGGAGTAAGAAAACTTTTTAGGGAAATGTACATAAGGATAATTTTATAAAAATAAATTGAATTTTTTCTTGATTATATAAATGGATACTTATTTTGGACAAAAATAAAAAAGCAAATTGGTCACTTATTATGGACCGGAGGAAGTAGGAGGGATGAAATCATTTTATTCTTAATCAGAGTTCTTGAGCTAAACCCTGAAATTAAGGCCCCGTTTGGCCATGAGTTTTCCCAAAATAAATTTGGGATTTATTTTCAAAACTCATGTTTGGTCATAAATTTTGCCCATATTTTGGCCAAATCCCAAATCTTAAATCCCAAATCCCAAAATCAGCTATTGAGCTGATTTTGGGCCAAAATCCCAAAACTTGGGAATTATATACATGTTTTTCCAAAATAAAGTTGGAAAATATGTTTTGAAAACGTATGTCCAAACACATTTTCATCTTCAAACCAAACTTCACCCAAATCAGATTTTTCAAAATAAATTTGGGATACATGGCCAAACGCTAGCTAAGGGTTAATATTGTCAATTTCATTGTTAATTAATGCTTAAAGGTGAACCTTTTAAAAAAAAAAAAAAATCAAGTGGATCGAAGGGAGTAATACATTTATTAACAATTCCCTTTACAGCTTTCCATCCAAAAACGGGTCAATAAAAGTTAACAACTCATTTTATTAATTAAATAAGCATTTGACTTGAGGAATTTAGACTTATCATACCGTTACGTGCTTGTGATCCTTACCATGAAATAGGAACCTCAATTTAATGACTTTTACATGCTCATGTTTAATTTGATTATTTCTTGATTTTGTGTATAGATCAAAAAGGAATTCGGTTCCTTCAACAAGTATCTGTGGGGATTTGTGAACAACAAGCCCATTGCAACACAATACAAGGCCTGTAACAAAATTCCAGTAAAGACCTCAAAATCTGAAAGCATAAGCAAAGACATGGTGAAGAGAGGTTTCCGGTACGTCGGTCCGACAGTCATACACTCCTTCATGCAGGCAGCCGGCCTTACCAACGACCACCTCACCACCTGCCCACGACATCTCCAATGTGTTACATTGGCAACTCAACCACCCTCCACCCAGTAATAGCCTAATAATATTAGATTTTATTATTAGCAAAATCATAGGTTTTAAGAAGTTGTTAGAGATGCTTGCTAATTGTTTAACAATATCATACGTACTTATTTTTATTCTCCTTTTGGTTTGTGATTATTGAGGTGATAACAGTTTGGTGATGTAAGATATTGGGTTGGTTAATGGGCAGTAATATTTTATAGTATAAGAAAGAACAAAGGGAGGGATTGTGCAGATATGGGGCCGACAGGAAGCATGTGCAGGGTGGGCAAGGGAATGACAATGGCATGTGTTTGTAGCATATGCCTTCATTTAATTTTGTGTCCACTGACCAAGTGACCACCAGCAGGAGCCTAGGGGGCCATCATTTCCCCACCACCGCTCCATTATTTGGGTGCTTTTGACAGGCTGTGTAAAATTTGAAGACTCATCATAATCATCATCTTCATCAGAATGGAGCAGAACAGAGGAGCCTTTGGACCAGCCTTTCCAGCCTTTGGCCCAGCCTTTCCATTCCTTTTTAGGTTCTTGATTTGGATAACAATCGCATACATGCTTGTGCTTGCTTGTTTCAGAGAACAATGTGGACCATTTGATCCTTTCACAAAGTTACAGCGTGACACGTGCCTGCTAGATAAAATTAGAAGTTGGTGACCTAATGACAGGGGACGGCAACTAAAGCCCCAACGGATGGTGATCATAACTTAAATTAACGAAATTCTATAGAATTACTTTCAATAAGAAAAGAAAAAAGACGTGGTTTGATTGTTGTTTTGCCCATAGTACAATGTTGCTGAATTCTAATATGACCCAGAAGCAAACACGAAGTGTTATGCAGTAGCGTATTCATATTCTAGCGTGAGATTTGGTCGAGTGCTTCCCGTTTGGCCTTTGCCTTTTTCCCTACATATTTTTTCATATGGGATTGTAATACCATGGATTATACTGGTTTGCCGAAATATCTATGCAATTCTTTCTGTGTATTATTCTAAAGGTTAGTTCCACAGGCTAAGCATCTTCATTCCATGTGCTCTCAGCTTTTAAAAGTTGCTTTATAGAAGGGACCGTATCACATTTATTCCCACACACATGCACATGGTCTATAATGGCTTTTAGGCTTCTAGCTACTGGTGTATCATTGCCTGGCTTGGAAAGGAAGATTACAGTGCATATCAAAGCTAACTAGAAAATGAAGCAATAAATGGAGACAAAAGGAGGCAATAAATGAAGAGAGGATGACACAAGTTGGACAAGGGCATGGCCTAAAGTTTAACTTTCAGTCATATGTATGTATTAGTTTGAGTGCCCGTATGAATTACTGAAGAACTTGATTTTTTACCGTATTTCCTAAGCGAAAATTAAAAAAGCAATAAAATGAACATAGTGATTTTTACGTGGAAAATTACCCGGATCAAAGGGTGCAAAAACCACGACCTACCAAGTAGGATTTTCAGCTCTAACTCCACTAGAACAATGAGCCAAATTGTATCAATTACAACACTGTAGTGAAATACTCTCCAGTACTTCTTCTACTCCTATTTGATTCACAAGTGACTCTAACTTGTAAAATCAAACACTCACTCCAAGTCACTAATTGTTTATAACACTTGATTACAACTCAATTTCCTAAAACACATTTACTAGACTAACTCGGAAAGAGTACATGACTCGTACTCAACACAAGTGAACCACTTTATGGCTCTGTTGTTGACGTGTAAAAGGATAGTTCCGAAGTCCAAACTCAATCCTATTTAAACACGACTCGAGATCTTCTAGGAGTCCTATTCATAGTCAGCTTCCTCTTTGATAGGACTCCTTCTGTTCCAAGGATTCCATAAGCTTTGAGACTTTTGTCTCTAACTGACTTATCCATATCTTTTTTAGCAACGACCCTTATCACTTGCAACAGTCATCTTCCACCAAACTCGGACATGGTAACTTTGAGATAAAGTTATTGTCTTGTACAAACGTACAAGTATCAATCATGAAAAGTTGATCCTTTAACCTGAGAAGCTGGTTCTTCACAAAAGTTAAGTAGCTATATTGAGGACCTGGTTCTTTGAGTAGTTAGACACATTTTGTTAATCATCAAAACTTCAATACTCAACATTTACCCACTTTTTGATGATGACAAACTCTGTACCCAGAACTAACAATTACATTAAAGAACTAGATGAACGAACCAGATGATCACATCAAGTACATGTATGTCCCCACCTTATCTTCCCCCTTTTGGCATCATCAAAAAACACAAAAGATGTTAGACAATAAGCACATAGATTATAAGATTCAAATCCTATCAGGCGACAACACAAGCATACGAAAAGGAAAATATACTAAGTTGATGATCCAAGAGAGTGAAAATTAGTAAAGCAGAGTGATGATAGGCTATAAATACGTATTTGAGTCGCTTATTACACTATAATTTACTGCACTTTAATTGAGTTTGATCTTTAATCGCTAGTTTTTTGCACTATTTTTTTTGTGCCTTGTAGGAGTGATTCCGAGCTATGTAGACGTTATGGATTGAACTGAAGTGATTTAGAGCTTTGAAGTCAGAGTGAAAGCCCAAGGAATTAAGTCAGGAACGTGTTCGAGGATCAACAAATGATAGTTAAGAACTAATGAAGAATTGAGTAGGCATATTGTGCACTGTCTAGTAAAATGCACATAACTTTTTGCTCATAAATCCGTTTGATATCCATAATATATGGTTGGAAAGATAATTCAAAGGGCTACAAAATTTTTTCTTTTAGAGAGCCAAAGTCTCTGCCACCACAGACGGAGTCATGATCACTTCACTCCTCTCAAATCAGATACAGCTCCAGTCAGCATTAGGCCCTACAGGTATAACCATTTCGAAAAGAATGAGTTAGAAAAACAAGTGACTGACATGCTTAATAATGGTATCATTCAGCCTAGTCACTCTCCTTTCTCCTCACCAGTGTTATTTGTTAAAAAAAAGGATGGCAGTTGGAGATTTTGTATTATATTACAGAGAATTAAACAAGATGACTGTGAAAGACGAAATTTCCTATACCTTTAGTAGATTGATCTCATGGATGAATTAAATGGTTCATGCATTTATTCAAAGATTGATTTAAGGGCTGGTTATCATCAGATTAGAATTGG